ATATATATATATATATACCTAGTGTTTATTACAAAATATACCAGACATATACTTGTTACACAAATGTAGCAATTGTTTTTATATACCTTACATCTACTAGTAAAATTTTTTTATATGATGGCAGGTACAATTATTATAAGGTAAAGAGCAAAAACTTGCCAACACCGTTTGATTTCAATGTCGCCTGTGTGACCGACAAAAATTGGTTCTATCACATTAATGAGACAGGATGCTTCCTTGACAGCAGTGTAAGTACAATATTGACAGACAATTTACTTGTTTTCTTCTTTTATTTTGGTTCAATTATATGCTGAAATTTATTTTATTAGTTACATTTCATTTATTTATTTTTATTTTTTTTCTATGCTTTGACAATTGTTTTCATTTTCAACAGCACTTGGATGTTATTTTTTATTATTTGAGGAAGTTTGGAATATATGGGAGCGCCAAAGTCAGGTACACAACGACGGATGTGTTGTTCGACCAACACATCAAGTCGTTGTACACGTCCTTTTTGTCTCAATCTCGTAACCTTTCTGTATGCACTGTGGATGACATGATCATTGACTACATCACGGGATATAAGATTATATGTGGACTTTCTTGGTTTAAGGTTGATCATGTCTTATTTCCGATTCATTTGGAAATAAATAATGTCGGTCATTGGATTATGGGTCTCTTGTCCTTCGATGATATGAAACTTCGAATCTACAATTCAATTCGAACCCAAGACTGTGATAATCTTGTTATGGAGAATGTGAAGGCGTACGTTGAGCTTATCCCCATTTTCCTTGACTTGGTGAGGTTTCCAAAGAAATCAGAGCACGGTCCTCTCGAAGTTATTATGGTGGATAATGTCCCCCAGCAGCTTAATAGGTAACCTAACTGAATTCGATTATTTTTTACGGGAAATTTCGGTTTAACTACTTTCATTTAGTTTTAATTATTACTTTTTCTTTTTCAGCGACTGCGGGATATATGTTGCATCATTTGCCGAGTATTTCATTTCCGGTCATGACATTACCAAAACGAATATTGATGCTACTGTCCAGAGGCATAGATATGGATATCTGCTCTACACTCATGGCCTAATGAAACAGACTAATGGGTATGAGAGTGATGATGAATCACCCGGATCTTTGCCTGATGAAGTTCGTTTTGGATTTCTCAAAGTTCCGGATAAATCGTAGACCGGATCTTCCTCTCTTTTTTTTTTTCCTTTTTTTTTAGATGGGTGTATGTTCCAGAAGTTATTTTGATGGATTTTTTTTAATTTTGTTTCTGGTGTGTTTTTGAAAACAATGTCTGAACATATACTTCGCTTGAACACATATTACTGCATTGGTTTATTTTGTTATATTTTTGGTATAACTTTGGCACACTTTTTGTCTTCTTTTGTTTCATGTGCTTGGTATATGTTGAGTATATAAGATAACTATTCACCTACATTGATAAATTTAATATTTACATTCAATTGTTTTTCTATTTTTTTTTTTTAGTTAATATGAGTATATTTTGATGTACAATAACTCTTTTTTTAGGTAATCTTTATTTTATTTTTGTTTTGTTTCATGTCTCATTATATGTTTGGTATATCTAAGATTATTCGTCCATAATAATAATAAACACGAAATTATAATATTTATAATCTAGTTATTTGGTTATATGTTGGTTATATATGAGATAAATGCTTTTTCTTTTTTTTGTAATAAAATTGTTGTCTAATTTGACATCTCTTCAGGTTTTTAAAGTCTGATTATGATTACAAGTGGTGTATATGCAATGTCAAGTTGTATTTTTTTAATATTAAAAGTCAAACATATAACATACATATACCCATAATACAACATTAATACATTTTATAACCGAAATATACACATAATATAACATTTAATACATTTTATTCTTTATAAATTCGTATAATATAACAGTAATATACCCAAATTATACACAGACAATGTTGTTGTTATTTTATTTTGGAGACAGTAAGTATAATTCAAGATTATGTGTGGTATCTTTTTTACTGTTGCATATGTCATAGTGCCATTCTGTTTTGTGGTTGTTCACCACAAATGTATATCACACAATATAGGGTCTACACTTTCTTATAAGTCAAAAAAACGCATACTAATACAACACAAAACATAATCTCCAAAAAAATTAATTAATAACCATTCCAATTCAAAATATACATAACAATTATTGGACTATAACCTCTTCGGATTCCTACAAGTTTTCACATTGTGCCCTTTCTCATTACACTTGCTGCACCTATTTTTTGACCTATGCTCCCATCCGGACTTCACCCGTTGCTTGCGTGGTCGCCCTGGCCTAACTCTTGCATTTGGTGGACTTATTAAAGTGCGGTCACTCTGCGCCTCACTCGTGAATGCAATATTTCCTTCAATTGGTATAACAGCATCCTCATAAGTTGATAACATTGTAGAGTTTAGGTAGTACGCAGAACAGAATGGAACCGGATCGAGGTTTAGTGACTTTATAACACGTATAGCGTGCGGGCACGGCAGCTCATCAACTTGAAATCGGTGGCATGTGCAGGTCTTTGACTCTGTGTCCACTATAAAGGCTTTTCCGTCAGCTATCACCTTAAACAATTTGTCACTTGCTTTCTGAACCTGTTACACATTTTAGTATATTTTACGTATATTTTTGGTGTATTTCATGTAATAAGTCACCCAAAAAAAAGTAGAATAAAAAAAAAAAATAAGGAGAACCATCAAAGCTTACAGAATATCTTGCTGCTATTTTGTAATTAGTTTCCAACATACTATGTGGCTTCTTTGCAAGCGTAGTAAATGTGCCTTTGGCTTCATCCCTGTTAGCCACATTCCATCTCTGCTGCATGTCCCTAAGAGCCTCAAGTAGTGTTGTTATTGGTAGGTCACGAACGGACCGAATTGCAGCATTTATTGATTCAGCAGCATTAGATGTCATGGTAAAGTATCTATTATTGGGGCAATGAACTCGTGCCCACTTCTGGAAGCCAACTTTTTCTAGATACGTTACGACATCCGGATTCAACTTCGTTATTTGAGACATATGCATATTGAATTCATCTACGGTATACGCCCTTGCTGCTGCATAAAACTCCTCTTTCACTGCTTGTGCCTCAGTCTTATAATGCATCTTCAATTTGTTTGAGATATGATAGGTGCATAGACAATGCGCAGCATTTGGGAATACCTATAAAAATATAAGTATAATTGCTGATTGGTCAGTGTATGTACTAGTTAATATATATATAAGTAACCCAAGGAACGATACACAATACAGTAACTAAACAGTATATGTACCATTAAATATACTCACTTATAACTTCAAATATACCATTACCTGCTCCACAGCGTGTCTTATGCTTTCGTGACCATCTGAAACAATGCAAAGGCCAACCCTATCACCAATAACAGCTTGCAATTTGCTAAAAAACCACATGTATGAGTGGTTATTCTCTGAATCAACAACACTAAATGCAAGCGGTAAAAGGTGAGAATTTGCATCTTGACAACATGCTGTTAACAAGATCCCCCCGTATGACGATGTCAAAAATGTGCCATCGACAATAACAATTGGCCGACAATGGGCCCATCCTTTAACAGATGCTCCAAGTGACATGAATACGTA